AGGAGATGATATAACAGCCAAAATGATACAAGGTGGACCCTTGCAATATGCGGCACTTTGGTAATGAAATTGTTTTTTTTAATGGTGACAAAATAAAACTTCAACCCTGGAACTCCACTTGAACCATGTGGCAAATCAACCCCTTTGGGGGGCCTAGGCCAAAAAATAAACACCAGATCTTTTTTCCCCCCTCCTCCCCAAAAAAATGTAAAAAAAAAATAAGAAAAACAATCCCGCCAAGGGAACGGTCTCCAATTGTTTTTTAAAGAATTTACCAAAACCATTTAGAAAACAAAAAAACCACATTTTTTTTTTTTTCTTTTTTTAAAAGGGCATACAACCAAAAAATGCGCTTTCTTAACTCCCGTCAGCATTTCCCAAAACACATGGTAAAAGATGGGTCTTGGTGGGTTGGGGGGGGCCTGTGGTACCTGCTTTTTTCCCTATTCCACAATTTGGCTTGAAATTTCTATTTTTTACATCCTGGAAAATTTTTCTCAATTGCAATGATTGGAGGGGGTTGCGGGGGAATTTCCCTTTTCTTTCAGCAATGCTTCACTTAAGCAGTGGACAAAAGAAAAAAACAAAAACAGAAAATTTTTTTTGAACCTTTTTTTTTTGAATTTTTTACAAAAAATTTAAAAACACAATTTTTTCTTGGCATATCTCCTTCATGTTTTATTTTACTTGAATGCAATAATGAAGCGTGCAGCTGATTTCAATAGGTTTATTTACCACTCATATTCCTATATTTTGTAGGAAGTAAATTTAAGTGACAATAAAATATATGTTACTGAAACTGTGGTCTGGTAAATTTATATTCTCAAGGTTTTTTCTGAACAAAAAGCTACCAGCAGAAAATAAGATAAAAACTCTTGACATTTACTACAAATATGGTGTAAATTACCAAAATTAATTGAAATTGAATTGAAATGCCTTATTTTACGTGCGGAGACTCAGGCCATTAAGGCCTGCTTCTTCCGTCTGACCACGGACGAAATTTCGGCTACGCTCCTATTCACCAACTTCAGCGGCAGAAAGGAGGCATATCTCTGGGCGAGACCACCGGCGATTTTGATTTAGCTCAGAGGCGTCATTTAGGCTTAGGATCTTTACCATGCCAAGTAATCTACGAACATGGGACGCCGGCTTTACTTCCCTCCGAAGGAAGGCGTATGAAGGAATTTTTTCGCCCTTAAAATCCACGGCTTCGATCGGGTTTGGTTTGAACCCGCCAACTTGGGTACAACAGTCCAGTACGCTAACCGTTACACCATCGCCGCCGCCAAAAAGAATTTGAAAAGAAGTAAATCTACTCGTATTTACTTAAAGCCACATCAAGCTGCTTCTAACACTCTAGGGCATTAGATTGAACAGTTTCCTAGACAATGGGTCAAATGCTGAGCCAAATTAACATGGGAGAGATAGGGTTTTACGTCTCCCCTAACAAAACTATAATGAAATGGTGCTATAAAATAAGAAATACAAGTGGTTAAATTCTCAGGGCTTAGTAATTACACTGGCAAATTTATATTATTACCTTATTTCAATCACACAAATACATTAAATTTAACTAATACAGAAAATTATAAATAGCATACAAGATAGAGACAACTTGTGAGGTCAGTGAAATTAGTACAATAAACAATGACAGATGGAACCAAAACCTTCAGAAAAACTAAATCCTGGTAAAGTATGAACTTGACAAGGTGGCAATTGAGAAAATCCAGATTCCAGCCTTCACAATTCTATAACTTTAACAATGAACTATTAGAAAAATTGTATCCTTTAACAATTATGCAAAACTAACTAGTGACAGAGTCAATAAGCCTGTAGAAATCACAATGCAAAGAGCACTATAATCAAGATGTATTAAAACACCTACCATTTGGTACAAAATATGAAGCTCTCAAAGCACCTATTGATTGAAGGCTCACTTAAAAGCTAGGGGAGAGGGTTTATCTTCAAATTGGGTCCCCATCCCAGTTAACTTCCTGATCCCACAACAAACACCAAGTCTTGGTACTGATGTGAAGCCCCCATACCACCTGGAGAGGATAGAGGACTCATTTGAAAGTTTGGACATTGGTTTCACAGCTCCATAAATGTCTTCCTTAGAAAGCTTCCTGCAAATAATCCAGATGTCCTAGTCTAGCACATTTTCTACTCAAGTCCACTGAGTCAACACAATAGCCAGCTATTTATACGCTTCATTTATAATCTTAAAATTTTAAAACCCAGAGTTCAACAAAATTTTAAATGTGCAAAAATGCAGAAGGCGAAAGGAAATGTTTTATGACAGAAAGAAGTTCCATTGCAAAAACAACTCTTGTAACATTACAAAATTTACATTACAAGCCAAAAAATATTTCGTTGGCTTGAAAACTTCTCTGAATTGCCATTTTTAGTACTAATTGAAGTTAATTCAAATTTGAAGTTTTTATATTGAATTCTTCCAAAATTTCAATTGTTCTCCCCACATCAAAAGTCAGCAACACCTACATTTTTGTACACACTGAACAAGTTCTCTAATAAATAAAATTTTTTGAAAATATTAGTTCACATATTCCCATTTTGGTCAAAAATGATTTGCACAGACATCTTTGCTAGCAATTTGCACTTCGCACGGGTGATTTTGGCATTGAAAATAAAAATATTATATTTTATACACATTTTAAGTATTTATGTCTTTGGCCAAACAGGATATGTAAACTAGAAATAAAGCTGCAACTGAATAATTCACACATGAATCAAGTTCATCATGACCCTTCCAACAAATACTCATCTTTTAAACTATTGTTTTAATTAATATATGGATAATATTATAAATGTAATTATACACACACACATACACTGGGTCTTTACTCTAACTTGCAACCCATGTCTAGGATCCACTCCCCTATTTTGGCAATGCGAGAAATACCTTCGACATACCTTTCACTTTTAGCGACCCCTGGCTGTCTGCCCTCAGATTTCAGACTTCGAGAATGTGGCTAACTTTAATTAGAAGAAAGAGAAAGCACATACTGTCTGTGTTTCTCTTCAATGTACTGCAGCCCTTAAAAGAGTTAACGCAAGTCTCTTGACAAATGGTAGTCATTTTGAGCATTTACTCTGAGGTCAGTTTGTCATTTTAAGGAAATAATGTTTTATTATTTCAATAATAATCATTAATTTACTACTTAAAATTTTATGAAGATTTTCATTAACTTTATTAAGATTTTTTTTGTTTAATTTGCAGGTTCCATAATAATAATAATAATAATAATAATAATAATAATAATAATAATGTATTATTATAATTGTTGAGCTTTGAGGTAATGTTTTACAAGGAATTTTTCTGATCTTTCTCTAAACCGGCTTTCATTAAATAATAATTATTGTTGTTATGTTGCTCTTAACAAATCGTTAAATCAGTCATAACTTCCCTCTGCATCATCAGTATTATAGTTTTGTTTCTTTAACATACTAGACAGAAACGCCCAAAGAGGTGTTTTGTTTGCCCGCTCTTGTCTCTACCCGGCCACCCTCCGGAGAAGGGTGAATAGATTCTGGCTTGCAAGCCGCGTACCTGACTGCCAAAACTCTTCAATGTGAAAAACTCAGAAACAGGCAAGTTGCTGCAGCTTATGACTTAACGCTCGCCTCCTCCTCAGCTGTCTCAACATGCCACGGCTGTCTTGAAAAGAGGCGGTGACCAAATTGCCAAAACAAAAATATGTGCTACCAGTCATGGGTTGCTCACATTTGAGGCATTCAGAACTCTGGTTTTCATTTTTACTTCTAAGTTGAAGATGATATAAATATCTTCATTTCACATTACCTGCAGAGTCCCCTTTCTCATTGACGACATCAAAGCCCTTGGTGATGTTGAGTGTCTTCGCTCCTGGAGGAACCACCTTCACAGGGGGCTTCCCTGTAGCAGTCGTCTCCTTCGCAACCTCATCACTACTCTTACCATTTGGCTCAACATCAGCACTCACGCCACATTTCCTAGCACCTGACATGTGAACAAAATGTTGCATTTTATAAACACTTTAAAGTATTTCAACCATGCACAAAGACACGAATCACAGTGATGACCTGGTGCTGCAAGCAGTCTGTTACTTTGTCCTTTTTGCATATGTCACAGGACCGAGGAGGTGGGAAAAGACTACTCAGACAAGCACTCAACATACATAACTTATCATTCACAAATGGAAAAGGATCTTCTTTTATGTTATTAGGTATACAGATTAGATATGTCCCACAGAATTTTTTTCAACAAAGGTAACAATATTCATATGCCAAAATATATAATTACTTCAAATTTGTGGAGTATCAGACTAAAATATATTAACTATACAATTAATTTTACTTTAGTTGGAAGACAATTTCTAATCTATTTCAAATATTCTGAACATATCCATGCTGAATGAAAGAATATTAATTTCATTTCAATAATGGAGAGATTATAATTTTATCATAAAATGAAAAAAAATCCTGATTAAATCCAGAATAATGATTAAATCTTGCAACATGAACACTTCAAAATGCATTGTATTTTGTCTTGTGAGTTAATATATGCAATCTGTTACTCATTTCTCATAATGATAAGCAAATAAACATTAGCTATAACTCTTCTTTTATAGTATCTAGGCCTGTCTCTTTTGATATCTAGGAAATTACATTTTAGTACAAACTCAATGAGTCACTTACCACAAAAATCAGTATATATAGGAAGCAACATCACAGTAACACTTCATTCTACTGAAGTGGTGGATTTCAGAAGTTACGCAATAAACAAAAAAGGAAATTACAATGTGGAAACAAGGATTTCATCATGTAATGAATGAATGCTCAGAAAAATAAAATAAAATATTTCTGAGATGTTACTTTTCATATAATTTAATATATTTTCTGGTTAAGCAAAGTAATTTCAAAGAAAAACACTTATTATTACAGATAATTTTAATAAAATTAACAAATTAACATTACATTTGTGTATCCCTTCCCAACTTAAAACAATGACAAAAAAGAGACATTGTACACTATACATAAGGTTTACAGGATACCAGTACAAATATAAAAAAAATAAAATTTTCAATGGCAGTATTTTAGCTTAAGATTATTTAATAAAATACTTTTTGGAGGAATAAGGTCATAAAAGTTACCATATTAGTTAAACACTCCTAATCACTTCCTACAGACAATTCAAGAGCCAATGAGATACACTTGTGAAAACTGTTAGGGCATAATTATGCACTCTTTGTACTTTTGTGTAAAATTAATGTCTTTTATTAGATGGAAAAGGTATGATAAAAACCTGCAATGATTTTAAGATTATATATACAATTAAAATCTTGTACTCAAGCTTTCTTAAAAAAATTCTTCATTGATTTTATGTCAGCTAAAAATGCAGAAATATGTATCTTGTAGAAATTCCTAATAATATGAATACCCGTGGTTCATTAAAACTCAGTGTTTTCAGCCAGAAAAGCTGAAATGTCAAATTTAATAAAATAATTTATTGATTATATGTGTAAAATCACTGGATAATTACTTAATATTGTAATACTCCAGTTATACACCATTCTATTCAATTGGGAAATATGATTATCAAATAGCAGTTACATTAATTACAAAAATGAGAAATTCACAATTCTTATCTCCATTCAATTTGGCAATACCAGAGGGGAAAAATCTAAATTTACAAGGCCTTTATTCATGCTTCACAGAAACATAAAAAGAGTTAACAAGCCAGTACAAAGATAAAATATTGGCCAGACCCCATGTGTTATTGCCAAAAATAATATCAATAAACCAAATTAAATTTCATAGCCATATCTTGCAAACATTTTTTTCACCCCTTATATTGACCCAAAAGTGTTATGTGTAATAAAATAAATAACTTAAAAATCAACTATAAAAAAAAATTAAAGAAATAAAACATACATACATACTTGTATAGTTACAAAATAAAAAAAAATACAACTCCTATTGATACTTCACAAAACAATTATTAACTAGCATAGTGGAGTAAGTTTTTATTTTATTGCTCTTGCTTTGATTGCTGAGGCAACATAATTAATACTTAAATTGAGTTAGAGGCACTTGGTTTAGACTACTAAATTTTTGCATTTGTGATATCAACTCAACAAGGCATAACTGGGACCCTTCCCATTGTGATTTAAAAATACTCTCAAAAACTGTCCACTTTTAATTTTAGAATTGAAATGTTTGCCTTTTTGGCAGCTTGCTTCTTGTTTTTCTACAAGTTGCATAAACAACATAAGTGGATAAACGATAAACTAATGTCTGTGAACATTCATATTTAAGATAGCAAAACAAAAATCTCACTACACATACCTTGTACTTTCATACAACTGAACTGTTCATCATTTAGACTACCAAATTTTACTCTCACAAATTATCAGAACCTTCAAAGAATATCGTTTATAACACAAAATGATATAATTAGAAAGTATACCACAAAGATTATTTTCATATTTTAAAATACTAAATACAGCAATGTTATATATAACATTTTCCTTAAAAAGCAATGTAAGGCACAGATTTTGTAGCTCTGTCCTATGATATTAAGTGAATACTTAAGTCTATATACATATTTACTTGCATTACCTAGACAATGTGTTATGATTTAACAGTAAAAATACTATGAGAAAGAATCTATCTTACTTATAATCCTAGATATGAGAAAATATACTAAAATTACTTTTGTCATTTTTACATACATCAATCACTTCTTAAAGCCCATGAAAACTAACTCTAGAGAAACAATGTAAAACTTAAAAATACATTGTACAGTGATTCTGTGAATGAAGGTTTTTTCAAAAATATTACCTCACAAACACTCAAAATTGCAAGCAAAGGAAATGCATGTTACAAAACAAATTTAATGACAGTGCAACCATAAGATGACATAAAAAATGTAAAAGAATAAACCACCTATTCCCACTCATTTCTATACACTGTACAAATTCATTTCTGAAGTCTTTGTAACAATATGATCCATTACTTTGCTTTCCGACAAGAAAAAACCTTGTCATCTGGTGATTCTTCATCAAAAGCAAAATGAACAAGATCTCCTGTGTATGGCTTTCTGGGAGGAACATAAGGTCGAGCAAGCTCTCTCCATTGTCGACAGAGTACTTTACCGAATGAAGAGCACTTTCTTTTTGTATGAGAAAATCTCATTTTCAACAGTTCACTTGCATCCAGAATACAAGGAGCAACATAACTAATTTTTTGCACTTCATCAACATTGCATACATCTATTACTTGGGCAGGCATTTCTTCTTCTAGGATAGCAACATTATCAGATAACCTTAAACCAGGATCTCGAATAGCATTACTAAGATCAATCACCCACTCATCATCTGAACTCTCTACATTCATTTCAATTTCTTTTTCTTCTTGCTTCTCTGTGGAACTATTCTTCCATATTCCATGTTCATATCCTTCTTGTTTCAAAAAGGGAATAACAAATCCACCGGGTACTGATTTTGATATGCCAGTATCAGATTGGATTCTTTTATTTGTCAGTTCATGATCTGACTTCATACCGCATGAAGCAGATCTTGTGAGATGAAAGAAAGCTAAATCAGAGAGGGATGATGCTGATTTCTTTTGGGTTCTTGATTTCCTGTCGTTGGAAATGGCACTTGAGAACAATGGAACATCACCAACAGGTTCAGAGTCACAGCACTGTATATACCTTTGGGATCCACATTGGTCTCTGCAACATCTTCCACCACTTATATTAATACACATTGAAGTACATGAAGGGCTGGAGCTGGAATAACTATCACTTTCTGATTTGCATCTACAAAGAATTTTTGTGATTTTTCCCTTCCCTTCTTCATCGCCACTCATCAACTCAGCACTAGAACACCCTGCTGGCCTGCGAGAACATTTTTGGTCCAATCCTGATGCCACAGATGAAGAACTGCTCAGGTCACTCCGAGACGAACTGTCCCCTTTACCTCTGTTAAACTTATCAGCCAAGGCTGCCAGAGGTGAAAAAGTGCTTTCTTCATCATCAGAACTTTTATCTATAAGAATGCAATCTCTTCGGCTGGTACATGAAGATGATGACATTTTCTTATCTTTGTAAGAGGACTCAGAACTGTTGGGTCTAAGAATATTGCCCAAGCCTCTTTTGCCTGACAGATTGCCCTCATTCTTCCGGGTGCTGATAGGTTGTATTTTCTTCTCCTCTGACAAGTAACTCTCAGCACTCTTGTGCTTGTGATGTCTGTTTGCCAAAGCAGCTAAAGGAGAGAAAGGGCTATTCTCATCATCTGAGTTGTCTGTTTCATGACAGCTACCACCATCTGCTTGCCCTTCTCTCCCCCCAACAGACCCATGAATACCAGATACCCCTTTACTACTTGGCAAAAAATCTACAGATTGTAGGCCACTCTCTCGTATTGTCAAATTTCTAAAAGCCTGACACTGGTCTTTTGTTTCTTTTTCCTCTTGTGTAGAGCTCCTTGGCAACAGATTTGACTGCTGCTTTTCTTGGTCTCCCTTGCCTGTATGTGCCAGCTGTTTGGCAAGTAAAACCAGAGGGGAAGACCCACATTCTTCATCAGAGGAATTCAACACATCCATTTCCATATTATCACACAGAGATACATGGAGCTTTGTATCTACTTCACTTAAATTCTTTTGCTTTTCCATTTTTTCACCCGAAATGCCTTTACCTATCAATATACTTGAGCAACTATGTACTCTTACACAACTACTTACACCACCTATTTGTACTGAATCCCCAATTTGAACTTCCAATTTATTCTTTTCTACCTGATTATTGTCATTCACTATTTCCCGACTTGGAACTAAAGTGAGAATATTGCAGGTGGGCAGGGAACTATTGTAGTCCAAACTCAAATTTTTGTTTGTAATTCTACGGAACAGACTTCTTTGTTCATACAATTCGGGGATTGAGCTGCAAGCTGCAGCTTGGTTTTGTTTTGCAGTTAATTTATTGCTAATATCCTCCAGACTCTTCTTGTTAAATGAATCATCTTGACATGTGTTCTGTTCAGAGTCTCGCAATTCAATGGCATTAATATTGTCAGACAATTGTTTTAAAACTCTAGGATTCACTTTACATTGCAAATCACTTTGGAAATTTATGAAATCTTACCTTACACATTGCCAGCACCCAAAAGAGTTGTCAGAAACCAGATCACACGGAAGGAAAAACATGAAAAAGAGATTGCTTTATGTTACACAATTTGTAAATGTAATTTAAAGTAGCCTATTTCAAGACAGCTACAAAAAATTCCATACTGAAAAGATGTCCATTAACTAAAAAAATCTCTAGCACATTATTTCACTTCATCAGCATTTTTCATCCAATTTATGTTGGTAAATATTTCATAAATTTCATGAAAGTAAAATTGCACCTTCATTTTATTACTTTAAAAAGAATTTTTCAGAGACATCACGAAACAAGCTTTTCAACAACATCACTTAAATTTCATGTTTTGCAGAAAACAACATATGACATGTGTACAAATGCAATAAATTTCCATTCACAAATTTCCACTTTGTAAGCTCTACAATATAGCTAGCAATATCCCAAAATAAATGTATATCTGGTTACCCTTACTACATAAGATAATATTTTGCATTCAATGGATCTTTAATATCATTACCCCAATACACAAATAAGCAACTGTCTCATTAAAAGACATTGATCCTCATGGGGAATGTTTTCAGAAGCTTTATTACTAGAATAGTGGTGTCAGCACAAAATAATAGCCAAATAGCTTTTGGCACTAACTGGGTTGGCCATCAATTATCTATATTACTAATTTCCCAGGCATGCAGAAATAGAAAGAAAACTATGCAGCCTCTGGTCATGTAAGAGATGCTTACGATTTTGTTAAATACCCAGAAACTTGGGAAAACAATTAAACTGTTTTGATTTTGACTGAAAAATGCAAATTTTGAAGGCATTAATCTACTTCTCATACAGTGTGTATAAACTGAATTCTCATTCTCAATGTGCTACTACTTATAACACAGGAGGGTCATGTGAGAGCAAAGCACGAAGGAAGAGGCCCCCCACTATTGAATATTTACTATTTACATGTAAGGTTATAGAACAACAACTTTGTCGATGTTCTTGATATGTGCAGAATTACTGATCTTTATATCCACATATTACACTACTTGTAATATGTTATTGCATTATTCATGAAGACTATTCTTGTTAAAATATATATAAAATGTTCCAGGGTTATAAAAGTGTATACTATTTGTTCATCTTGAGCAGTGAACAGTCTGGGAAACCATTTTGTGTCATTTTGTGCAGCAGTATTTTGCTGTTGCTTTTAGAAATTAAATAAATCTTACTTTTTTCTAAATTGTCACATTCCTACATACTGAATTAAGTTAGATTTACATTTTTTGCTAATAAACTATCGAAATTACTGTTAGTTTTTTACCTTACAGTATCAGAATCTTGTTCAGAATGTTGGAAATGAATTCCTATCAGCCTTTTTGTCTCATTTTCCCTATATTTGCTGTCTCCCAAACACTTCTCAGTATACCTTCAAAATTGTAAAGCTAGGAGAATGGAAAAAGATAAAGAAATGACATTCCATTTTCAGATACAAAAGAAAATCCAGAACTACTTACATTTACAAAGCAATTTTGATAATTTAAAAAATAACCTTTTTCTGCCAGCATTATTTTGAACTGTGCACACAAATATCTTTTAAAACAGTTAAGTCATCAATATTTACAAATATGCAAAGAAAAAAATTAAATGCAGAGATAAATAAAATATACAACTCAAAATTTTGGGTGGCTTTTCACTTAAAATCTTTGCTTTCACAACTGATAATTTCATTATTACCAAAAAGAGAGAATAAAGGCAGAAAACTGAGAAGACTAAAAAATGTTAAAAGCTCTGTTCATTATTCATTCAGACTTCATTATCAGCAACACACACACAGCCCTTTTTATGATAAACATGAAAGTAGAAGTACTATGTTTCAGTTGAAAAACATTATTATCTAACAATTCCTTACCAACAATTAGTGTAACATTAAATCAAAGATTTTAGCATTATCAGTTTTATTGTTTACTATGATTACAAAAGAAATGAATAAATGTTTTTTTAATGTTGCAGGGCAGGTATCTAAAAATTGTTACAGTGATTCCTATTCAAATACCTTGGCAAAAAAATTTAATTATTACTAAACGTGCTTCAAATATACCTGAAATGGCAAAAATATAAATAGTTTTGTTTGATTGTTGACTGCAATAAAATCTAAACTATGCCTTACAGTAATATAAAAAAAATTGTTAATAAATTTTCCAAATTTTACTGTTGTAAGAATAGTAGTTGTGACATGAACTGGTTTGATGTTTAGCAGCAGCAATAAACAAGTAGAATTTATTAGAGTTTACATCTGACAAAATTAGTTAGCTTCTCTTCCCATACTCCTTCAATTATATTTCAAAAAACTAATAGGTTATCCCCGACTGTCAACAAAAGTAATGGTGGACTATGTTGAATTTGAAATCAATCTCACATTTACTTAACAGCGTCCCTAGATCTTGTGGTAGTTCTTTAAATTCTCATCCACTCAAGAAATGTAGATATTTGAAGGATAATCATTCATAAAATACGTAGAATTTATGAAATATTTAACGGAAAAGTGTACTTTGATCAACCACACAAGTTCATATGTGAATTTTAATGGCCATCAGTATGGAATTTTAGTAATAAAATAACTTCTCAGAAATACCTATATTTCTGTTCATATCAGGATAATTCTACACATCGTAGGTATTCTCATTTTTTTCAATATGATTACTTTTTTCCTTTTCTTTCAAATCTTAATGTTGGTAATTACTGAAGAACAAAAGGACGATTGCTCTGAAGACTATTAAAGTGCATGATCAGAAAGTTTTAGAGAAACATAAATGATGATTCTTAGCATTAAGAACTTCAAGTAGCAGTCTGTACCTAATTTAAATTAAAATTGATGAGCACTGTCACATTAAACCTTTCAAAGCTAATACATTCTAATCAGATTTTAATAGAGATCAGATCCATTTAGAAACTTGGAAGGTATCATTTACGTAAATACTACTATAATACTATTCTAACACACCCTCCAGAGCAGAGGCCACTGTTCTCCAGATTATCTTGAGTTTTCAAAACGCACAGATACTTAATTATTTAAAATAGAACATATGCAATTCAAAACATTCTGGAATCAAAAATAATATTTCTAGAAACTAGGATAACTGAAATGAACAACAAGCCTCACCTCTATCTCGCTCTCTTCTCACACGCTGAGGTTTGGGATCTTCTGCAAAACGGGAAACATACACTAGTGAATAGTATTTAATCAATGTTTACCAAAATTGACCTAACAATGTATTGCAACATTCTCACCACTAATAATTTCATTTGATGAGGTGGCATTACTCAAAATAGTATCAAGAGACTTATTAACATTGAAGTCACACTTCAACACAGTTTCCACAAGAATTTTTTCTGAGATACTATCTCCAATAACATTTCGAATTTCTTCCAAACAGGATCGTAACTTTGCTTCTTCTAAATCACTTAATGTTGGTCGAATGAAACAATCTGAATTTTTTCTGTCATTAGTTTGCTCCAGGCTCTCATCTTCCTCTGTTATGTTGTCTTGCTCACTAAAGAAGGCTGATATTTGTGGCTGCCTTGTGCGGTCGTACATAAACTGGGCCTCTGCAACATAAAAAACACATAAATTTAATATTTTCACTTTATTACACACATGTGCAAAGGAAAACAAACTCACCATCACTAGGAGATATGCAGTATTCATCTTCCACAGAGTGACCGTACACGTCATCATAACCATCATATTCTGCAAAAATGATTTATAATAGTGAAACAGAGCTGCATTAATTTATTGCTTCTTACTCATATTAAAATACGTCTGTTATCCCATTTTCCATTACTTACCATCACTGTAGTTCATAGAACGAACGTTTCTGTGACGTGCCATGATGAAACATTACGTTACCATTAAAAATAAACAATCCTTCGTATTTACTATAATTTTTTTTATTTGGAAAATGTCTGGTTGTAACGCGATAAATACAATCGAATACACTACAAAAGCTCACTAATGACTAGTTCGCTGCTAGTGTTGGACGTTCCCTGACAAATACCACAAGCAGGCCAGAAGAATCGAAAGAGTCCATGATCATGGTGTCTGCATGGTGCTGCGGTCAACGCAAATTTTGGACATTATACGAGCATGCCCGATTCACTACGAAGGCCGCCGATGTGCAAATGTAGCTGTTATCTGTTTGTGTTCGCCATGATGTTGCTGTGAAATTGTAGTCTAAAATATTCATCCCGATGTTGGACTTAGGCCTTTATCAATGTAATAATTACACTTTCAACGAGAAGGGAACCCAGGGAAACATTTCGTGGATACCAAAGAAAGCTTCAAACGTGTTTGAAGCTTTCGAGGCCGTATTCATGGAACTATGAACCTGGACTCGTTGTCTTTTACCTTGTCACAAATAAGTTATTTGGTTACAAATTTAACAAAGAAAAATTTTAAACAAAGTTCTCAGGAATTATCTAATGTAAGTACCGTTTTCCTCTATTCTTTGCATTAAGAGCAACCCTTTGTTGCCTGCTATTGAAAATGAAAGGGGGTCAAATGATTTACGTATGTTTTACAACTGCAGTGAGAATACGAATTTACCTTCAGTTTAGTACCTTCAGATGCCCTCAAGTTTTCACTGCGTTGAATAATCTCTTAAACGACTCTAGGATGTTTCGTTAAGACAAGAATAGTAAAGAAGCTAGAAGTGTGAAGTCTCAAAAAGTCATAAAGAAAGCTGTCTTTTAGAATATCTTTCCTTATGGGGTGTTTTCTTTGACAATTATTGTATTTTTTATTGAATTAATGTCTTTCTTGCTAGTGCTTTGTATATTATTTTGAAAGTGTAGGTATTGAGTATTATTTTTGTTTCTTGTAATGAACCTATAACCTCAAATTTTATTTATATGCTTAATATTGTATGTAATTCAAAAGAGATTAACTCTTTTATATTACTTGTTTCCATTCCAATTGATTTCCTATTTTTTTAGCTAGCGGCTAAAATTATTAGTCTCTGCAAAGATCTGCTTTCTTCTTTTGTTGCATTCCTGAAACTCACATTTGATTAAATCAAATATTTTATTTGGATTTAACAAATATGAAAACTGGATCAATTACAAATATTGCTAGCTTGAAGTGTTTTATGCATGGCAAAGCAAACAATCTTCTTGCATTTCGAATCTTTGAGAGAGAGAAACTAGAAAAGAAGTTAAAGGATTTAAAAATTTTTTAATGTTAATTGGAATATTTCATTTACATTTACCCTGATTAAAAAAATGGGCATGAACGTGGCATTCTTCCATTTAAGCGGAAAACTGTGCATTTCATTGGTTTAATATGGATAGTCATGTGTCATGCCAGAATTTTAAACTTAATTATACTATTGCATTAAGTTTTCTTTAATATTATGTGTTTCTGTAATTTTTACCCTCTTTATTATCTTTCACTTGTGGGGGTCAAAATGCTAGATATCTCAATTAACTTAAAATTATCTTCATTCTTCAACAGACAGATATAATATATTCACAGTTGTATCATTATTCAGTCAAAACAACCTTAGATTTCTCTTTTCTTTGTACTTTAACAATGCAAAAATTGTGATCAATTAATTTTTTTATAGCTGCTGTTTCTGTTGCATGGTTAATAATGAAACATTTGCTTTTAGTCTGGTACAATTAAAAACAAAAAATACAAATTTTTACACTTACAGATTAAGTGTCTGACATTGCTTGTAGCTATCTACTGTTTGAGTGGTTGACATTCTGCATTATAAATACGTTTCAAATACATGTTTTGTCGTTATCAAAATATTACTTTTGACTACTGCTACATGTATTACATCTAAAGAATCTTGAGATGCTTCTTAAATCACAGTTTCATTTTCTCCTAAAAAATTTTGCAATCAGACATTGTAGTTCATAATTTTGTTACAAATGTGCTGTCTCAATTTGAAATTTATGTGTAACAAATAATTTCAATAGACCTCCTTTTGTTTATTAAGTAAATCTCTTTTTGTGCAGTTGGTTACTGCACACGGTCTTGAAGCAGATAGACATTTGCTGCGTTGTCTCTTCTCACACATTGACTTCAGTGCTGAGGGAAGTAAAAGTAGCAGCAATAAAGACTTCCACCAGATCCTGCTTCTCGGCCAGGAGTGTTCAGCCTTGTTAACAAAACCAACATTAATTTCTAATCTTTGCTACGCTATTGACAACCCCTTACATCACCAAAAAGTAAGTATCCCATTATATAAGAAAATTGATTTTATGCAACACCTGCCGATCGGTTTGCCTGTGTACTTGTGACTTCCCTGATGATATATTGTTTATTTCAGACAATAAAGCCTTCACCGCAGCTTCTGCCACAAATAAGCAAAGTTTTAAAACTTACACCTGTTCAAGAAGTTGTTTTCAGTTTAGCCCTACTTAGTTCTTCCAATCCTGATACTCACAACATTGCCTTCCAGTTTGTAAAACAAAGACTTCCTGATCTAATTCATTCATACATAGACACAGGTTTGTTATCCTTGCAGTATATTCAGTGAATAAATAACAATGAATAGTGAGAAAATTTGCATTAGTTAATTTAGTGCATTAATAGTGATACTAAAAATAGTTCATGTCCATTTTTCCTTCAGAAAGCAGTAATAGTCAACAAGAAGGAGGACTTCACGACGCAACTCCAGACGTTTTGCATTTGATTCTTACAAATCTCCTGTTTGGCCCCAAGGATTTTGGTAATTCCTCCTACTTATAGTTATAGAATTTTCATGATTGTATTATTATTATTATTATTATTATTATTATTATTATTATCATCATTTTATTATTTGTTGACTTGTTAATATTCTTAAGAATTACTGTTTTTGTTAGGCGTATCAGCTGAAACAAAAGAAACCTTTCTGAAGAATTTGAGACGAGATTTTCCTAGAGAGCTTGTGCCTGTGGTGTTAGCACCTCTCTTATATCCTGGTAATACTGATCTGCCTATGGATAAAGTAAATCAGGAGAGCTCAACAATGACAAATAACATGGTAGTAAGACCCTTATCCCTTTTGCTTTGTAGCTAAATTCATAAAGTTCTCAAGATAATTAGTTGCCTTTGCTTTTTCAGATGGAAAGTTCTCTGGCTGATTTGTTGATGGAGTTGGGTTATGGCTGTTGCTCCTCTCTAGAAGAGTGTCGCAGTGCATTGGTTAACATGGGTGCTGGCCGAGAAATTTCCCCAGCAGCAGTAGCTCGCGTGCTGGGAATGATGATTCGAAATCACACTGGGCTGGACAGTGTTGACCAAGTGCAGCTGCAGACTCCCACCAATTTCTGGGGCTCTGGCAACAGCGGTGACTCTTCTTCAATTAACAAAGACAAAGGAGGAAATGTGCAAGATGGCAATCATCCTACAACCTGGAATATTGAAATTTTTGTTCAAACTTTGAAAGAGTTGGTAAGTTATTGTTATTGTATTATTCCATTTTGAATTGGTAGCAGCCAATAGTATCATTTGCAATTGACAACTATCAACAGAAAATCTTAATTTCTGTTTTTGAGTTTTGCAATGGCTATTTGGTATTTACAAGGCCGTTTGTGTTTGATGAGAAATTACAAAAAGTCGAGCCTTTTTTAATACTTTTTGTTTGAAACACTTTGTCAAGGAATTTGTCATACTCAGGTTCATGGCACGATAAATTTGGGGAGGTCGTTGTGATTTAAAGGGTTATGTTATACAGTTACTAATTTTACATAGTTTTTTACCTTATTTTATAAACAGACTTATACTTATGTTTAACTATTTATTTTAATTTATTGACATTTTGTCCCTTGTTAGAATCTTTCTCAAAAACATTTTTGAATATTTTATTGTAGTGAATGCATTTTCCCTTTAATTTATCTTGAAAAATGTTGATATTTATATTTCAAAAGAATTGCACTCAGTTTTGCTTCAAAAAGTTTCAAATTGTTCTTTTTTTCTTTGTTATTCTACATAGGTTGATAATTTTTACCTTCTGCATTCCTTGTCTCTTTTATGTCATTTTATTTTGCTGGGTTAAATACTGAATACCATTTGCAAGATTTTCTTATCTTTTGTTTATAATGGAGACACATGATGTAACATAGCTTTTGAATCAATTTTTTTATTCATTGGCAGAGGCCATATGTATATTACGAAACTCAATTCAGAGTAGCTATTTTTTTGTGAGGTCAACAAAAAAAAGAAGTGACATGTAAGCAGGCAACACATGAAAATCTCTTCGACTATACAGAGTGTCTGAAAAATGAGGGAAATTGAAACACAGAAATTAGTCAGGACAATGCAGGGAATTCGCTGGTCTCGTCAAAAAATGGGAATTTGACTTGAGCCTGAACACTAGCGGAAGGGAAGATAAATTTACAGATGTGAAGCAGTGTATAGTAACAAAATAAAGTGACTGTTCATTAAAATTCCAAGAGTAGTTATCAGAAAAAAATATATAAGAGCTCTTTGTTCAAAGAACAGCAATAATTACTACATAGGAGGAAGTGCTAATGGAAAAGTGTGTGTGTGCATAAATCTGTCTCTAATTGGTTTGCGTAGTCTGAATTCTTGCTTGTTATTGCTCAAAATTTCGTAAATGGAGTAGTTTTTGTAACTAGCAATAAAGAAAGATTCCTTTATCAATATTTTGCACTTAAATAGGTAGTGAAAACATTTAATTCTCACATTCAAATTCTTATCTTGCCACTGTCCAATTCTCTGCCTAAAATACACAATCCATTGATGCAAGCCGCAATCAGTGGATTGCTTCTAATTGTTATGAAACTAGCCTCCTTCAATATAATCCTCTGAGATGAAACTATTATGGTGTAATCTATATATTTAAAATGCTAAAGGTTTTCATCTAGAAAGAAATTTAAAGTTTTCTACACAACCAAATTTTGTGCTTTTTGCTTCAATTGAAAACTAGGCTGCCCCACATGTGATATTGCTTGCTATAATTAACCACTATAAACACTAACTTTAGTATCTAAAAATTAATAGAATGAATACTTATCTGCCACAATTTGTTCATTATGTAATTTCCAAAACCAACTTCATGTACTTGGTGTAATTGGTCTTGGTTGGTTTGTTGCATGGGTTATAATCTATGTACCAAAAGCATTCTATATTTCATAGCGAGTACAAATGTGCTTTATATGCATTAGCAAAACAATGATAGCGAATTTTTTTAAGTTCAAAGATTGAGTGTTAGTTTTTAAATGCAAAGACTAGGGTGTATTTATCAATGCAATGTACAACAAACATCAGCTACACATGTGCTTTTGCCAAAAATGTCCAGGGGATACCATTATTTATGATGTATTACACTTTTGACTTAATGGGATGCAGGATTTCCTGCTTGGTACATTACAAACATGCATGTACCAATCTTAGATCAAACAAAATATGAAATTTGGAAAAAAGCATTTTGCAGTAAATGTAAATGATACCAAACATTAGACAAACGCCAATAGAAACATGAAATGTATAAAACAGAAAATTACTTACTCAAATGAACTGGATCTAAGTTCATGGAAATATAAAAAAACATCTCGTCATGAAAACAAGATTGAGATTGAACCTAGTCTGGTAAAACGAGGAGGAAATTGATGAGAGAATCCAAGCTGAACTAAGGTGGGGGGAGAGGGTTAAGGCATTACTCCTGTCTGAGTTAGAAAGCTCTATGTAATTATCCCATATACCCTGGCCCTACACTCCAGTGCATTGGTGAAGATAAAGGAAGAAATTTCTTAAATGAGACTGGGTTACATTTGAAGAAAAAATGTATTACTATATTGTGAAAGATTATTTCTTATTCCTGCAGTTATTGTGAATATAATTCCGGAAACTATAATTACAATTTTTAAAGAAGCTCCACAAATGGGAAGCTAATCCGAAAGAGCTAATAAAAAGGTGTAAAGGCAAATGCTTTCAACATTGATTTTGAAAACATAATAAAAGGAAGTTTTTAAATGCAACTGAAATGACAAGTACCAATTTTGTGCTATTAGTGTAGTAATTTCTAACTGAAGAGGTAACTAACCGAATTACATTACAGTTCTACAACTTTCAACTTCAGCACATGAGCATAGAAGTTGGTTTCTCAGATTGAGAACTAATGCACACATTACTCCAATCTTAGTATGCTTTCATTCATGACATTCAACGGACAAGACTTTGACTTCTACCACAAAACTAAAAAGAAAATGATTTCACTTGTTCAATTACATTTTGTTGTTACTCAGATAATGGGGTTCTCCAAATCAGCATTCCAGTATAAATAAAGTTTAGTTATTTGCTTTAGTAATTAAATAAAATGCACACATTATATATACAGTAGGCCAAAACTAGACAATTCAAGAAGCATTTATATACCACATGTTAAAAAACAAACTTCTTGAGTTCAAGAGTTATGAAATTCACTCAAGTGTAACAGGGACTTCGTAGAAACTGAACTTCATGGCTGCTCTTGAATGAGAAAGATGGCAGATTTTGAGGTTCTTATAAGTCATAAAGACTCCTTAGGAGGAAGACCATTAGTAGGGACACTTATGTCATTGACAACACACATACTTTGGTGGTTGCCAGGAGATTAAGACAGTTGAATATCTTGTTTGCTTAGTATCACCCAGTTGGTTCATAAATTGATTACAGTTCACCAGTGAGGTTTGTATTTTTACTGGAGTCAACTGTTTCCCAAACAGGCAATACATGTAGGAGGATTTTGTTTACTGGTTGAGTTTTTATAAACAAAAATGTTTATAAAAAGCCTCTTGAATGAAGGAATAGTATTTAAAGGTATTTAAATCAAATTTTTAGGAGTTAAAACTGTGAAATTGTGCAGTAATCTTTATCTTTATTTTTGAAGTGTATTTATAATATATATATATATATATATATATTATATATATATATATATATATATATATATATATATATATATATATATATATAAAAAGAATTATAGAGAAAAATTAATATATTGTTTTTGTTTGTATAGGTTCCTAATCTACCTTGGAATGAAGTTGTTTTGGAGCTTGATCACCCTGACTTTCTTGTTAAAGATCGGCAAGGTTTGTCTCTGCTTCTTACAGCATTTCGTCTTGGCCTGCCAAGTCAAAATTTTCATCCTGACTTGTATCCTCTTATTGAAGTCACATACCATCATTGGAAGAATCCAGAAAGTCAGGTAAATGTGAAGTGTGAATAGTTAATGTCAGGTTGGAACTACAGGAAATTATATTTAAATTAAATTGTATAGTGTTAACTTGTGTAGTATTCGATCTTTGATTTTCTTAAAATATATGTAATGAACTGAATGCAATCAGTTTTACAAATTTAGAATTCTCTTTGAATGTAAGCTTTGTAACTAGTAATAAACATTATGAATAGAGGGCGAAATGTATTTCTTATTTTGTGTATATATATATATTTTTTCGGTTTCAGTTTTCATTTGTGCAACAAATTTTGAAAAATCCTGACCTTATTTGTTATGCTGATTATCCCTTCCACTCTGTTAATGTGGATATTTTGAAAGCCTCTCCTGAAAGCGACAATAAAGAAATTACAATGTGGCGATCATTGGATCTTATTGAAACATTACTCCATTTGTCTGACCGAGGACTTTACACCCAAGTTCAAGAGTTGTTTAAATTTCCAATCCAACATTGTCCTGATGTTCTTGTATTAGGACTTCTCCATATTAGTCCACCTATTGCTGGACTTTGTCATGATCTACTTACTAATCTTATTCCCGTGTTTTTGGGCAATCATCCAAATTCTGCTATTATTCTTCATCATGCTTGGCATTCCCAGGTACACAATTTTTTGCCAATATTTGGATTTTTGTTTGTTCAAAAATTGCATTTTTTAAATAATATTTTTTTTACAGAGTATCAATATAAAACAAATAATAATGCATGCTATGGCTGAGTGGTACATTAGAGGTGACAACGACCAAACTCGTCTCTCTCGGATTCTTGATGTTGCTCAGGATTTGAAAGTAAGGTTTATGTTGGTACATGTCTGTCATTTGAATGTTTCTAATGATTTGTTTGATATTAACATCAATTCTATCATTATTTTTCAGGCTTTGTCAATGCTTCTTAATGCTCAGTCTTTTCCATTTGTCATCGATCTTGCCTGTTTAGCCTCAAGAAGAGAATACTTAAAACTTGAAAAATGGATTACTGACAAAATACGTGAACATGGAGAACCATTTATATCAGCATGTGTAAAGTTTTTGCAGGTATACCTTTTATTATGTGCATTTTTGTTGAATTAGTATTACACTTTGCATATTTGTATAATGAAAATGAATTTTCTGCAGCGGAGATGCCCACAAATTATGGGAAATATTGTGAAAGAAGGTGAAAATTTACCAAAAGGAGCTCAACTTCCACATGAAACACTTACGACAATGCTAGCATGTTTACAAGTTTGTGCTGGGTATGTTAAAACTTCCTTTTATTGTGTTTATTCCCTCTACAGCTTCTTGCTTTGAATTGAATGGAAGCAAATCATTACTGATTCACTGACGCAAAGGTGTAACTTTGTTTTGTAGTAAATTAGATTGAATGTGTTCAGGGGGGCAGTCAAGTAATACACTACAAAAAGTTTCATTTGAAGCCATGTAGGTAGAATAGGGAGAAAAAAATGTCTCAGACTTGTTTTACTGAGGAGTATAAATATAATTATATTATTATTTACTTTTGTATACATAGTACTACTTTCAATTTTTATTTTATGTTTTTGTTACATTTTAAAAAAATCTTATTACTCTACTCATATTACATAATAATTCCGTGAATTGTAAATCACTCCAAAATGTTCTGATTGCATATACTTGAAAATTTTCTTAATTGTATTAGTGTCAATTAACCTTAGTTTTTATCCCTTGTCTTTGCTAAATCTTCATATCTTTGTGTTTAAAGAATGTAATTTGCCTAATAAATCTCTATCAAGTGATTGCATACACTGTTTTGTTAGTTTGCACTATGGTGTATTTTTATTTTCTGTGTAGGAGTGTTTCTCAAGAACTATCTGAAGCAATTCTGACAATGGTGGCGAACTGTAGTATCCTCTTGAGTAAACCTCGACAACCACCTCCTGGAGTACTGAGAACTCACCGGGGCATAGAGCCACCTTTCAATGCATCATCTTTGGGAGGACAGGTAAAGAAAGTTTAAGTAAAATTTGAATGCGTGTCTTTGCTTGGTTATTGTTTAGTTACTGGATGTAGACAGCGTATTTGCTTGTTCTGTGTCACTGAACCAATGTCATGGATTGTAAAAGTGAAGTATGGACTGATTTGTCCATCCAGCAGAACAAGTGTATTTTTGTAAGCATATGAAACAAATACAATCATTTGCGGAATGGTTTCATATTTATAATCTCAAATATATAAGGTTCTCAGTAGCTTCAGAACACTTGTACAATTTAATGAGAAGGTCCTGGCCTTAGGGCTATGTAATTAACCGAAAACATTTGAGTTATTTGAAAAATATGTTTATTTATATTCATGCTCTATATAGGTGCAGGAAAACCCTGAGAAGTAAGCAGTAGCAATTTATTATTCCACATATGTTTATTGTTAAGCTTTCCAAATTCTGATGATTGTGCTTATTAAACTTATAAAAATAAGAAAAAAACAAATGGATTTATTATTTACACTAATCTTTTAACTTGAAAAAATTATCAAGAGAGATGTATCATCTTCATTTTGTCAGTGAAAAACAGTTTCTTTTTGCCAAGTAATAAACTACAATGTTTTCATTGCCCTAAGTCCAAACATTTCTTGTTTGTGGAATGATTTAAGTGTGTATGAGAACATTTGTTTCATATATAAATATCGATCGAACATGGGTCTGATGTTTGTTTTCAGTTATTCTCTGCTTCACAAGTTGATCCTATTGCCAACATTGGATCTAGTCTTGCCAACATCAATTTGACTGGGGCTCCTGGAAGTCTTGGACCTCCAAGCAGCACAGCCTTCAACTTACCTGCAGCTCTGGGGCCTTTAGTGTCAACACCTGGTTCTCCCTCCCGTCTCATGGGTCCCAATGCCCCTGGACCGTCTCAGAGCCCATTCCCAATGATTCCCTTGGGCTCCCAGTTGCAACATTCAGGGCCTGTAGGCACTCAGGTGGGTCCAGGACCCTCAGCCACATCATTGGTTCCAGGCATGGGAGTGAGCACAATGAATGCCTTGGGTCGAAGCTTGGCACCTCAGCCTGGAGTGGAAAAGACACGACTTGGTATGTGTATGAGAAACTAACAAATTAGCCTAGTGTTCTCTTAAATGGCTATATTGAAGAATCTTTTCCTATAGAATATCTTTGTTAGTTTGTTTGAGGTACTGTCTAAGTTGTGGTATGAAATGTGTGTTCTTGCTTCAGAAATTTACTCTGCATTTAAATTTTATTTGTGAAAAATCTCATCATCTTAATATTGAGGCCAAAAAAAAATCACGAAGTTTGTATATTGTCAAAAATTTAAATATATGGTTTGAAGTAGTGTTTATATATAATAGTCATAGAATACACGAAGAACGTGGTATTGTGTATGTGGATGTGTGATCATTTTTTTAGTAGAAAGGTGTGTAAATATTTGGTGTCTTTTTGCAGGAGATACATCTACACTTTTTCCAGAAATGTCTGGGACAGTATCCAAAGAAGTTGAGGATGAAGCCAATAGCTATTTCCAGCGAATTTATAATCATCCCCCTCATCCAACTTTATCAATTGATGAAGTTCTTGATATGTTAAAAAAGTTCCAAGATTCTCCCAACAAGCGTGAAAGGGTATGTAATGTAGACCTCTTTGCAGGAATATAGTTTTTATATTATTTTAACAAAAATTAAGTAAATGGAAAATAATTTAGTGAAACAGTAATTCTGAATGAAGACTCAAAACCCTCTACAATGATACAGAAATTGTAAAACTTTCAAGCTCTCAATGTTATTTATTAAAAATTTAATTTCAGGAAGTATTTAACTGTATGCTTCGGAACCTCTTTGAAGAATATCGATGGTTCCCTCAATATCCGGATAAAGAACTTCACATCACTGCACAGCTCTTTGGAGGGATTATTGAGCGTGGCCTTGTGAGGTGAGCAATAGTATACATTTCTAATTTGCTTTTGTCCATGTGCATCAAAGTATTGCCACAAATAGAATTATTGGTTAATTAAAATTTCTCTTTTATTGTTACAGCAGCTACATGGCACTTGGCTTGGCACTTCGCTTCGTTTTGGATGCATTACGAAAAACTCAGGGAAGCAAGATGTACTATTTTGGCATTGCAGCTTTGGATCGATTCAAATCTAGGTTGAAGGATTATCATAAATACTGTGAACATGTGGCAGCTATTGCTCATTTCAATGAATTTCCTCCTCATTTAATAGAGGTAATTATCAAAATATTCAACTTAGTTTTTAAATTTGTTTGTATGCATGTGTGTTGAATAATCATGTAAAGTTGGACCTTTTTACATTTCTAATATTTAATAGTAAAATTTTGTATGTCAAATCACCACTGTTTTAATCTATGTTTGGTATATTTATACCGACATGATGTTATCCCTCGGTGGAGTCAACTCGAATGTTCTTCTTCCATTCGAGATTCACAATAATTATCAGTGATCTAGCGACACTAGCACGTTTGGGGCTGCTCAACAATAATGAGAACTGAAGACATTATGCTTTTTTATATTCTCTAGAATCTATGTTATCGAAACAAATGTTTCAATACTTCAATAGATTTATGTCAAAAGACTTGTTGAAAGCAAATTATACAATAGCTCAGTTTTAATTCTCATGCTTGATTGGCAATGATTGCTTGTAAATTTATACATTTCAGACTAAAATAATATTTAAGTAAGAATGCAACTTATTAGATATTAATTAAGAATTAATACACAAGCATAATTTCTACTGTTTGTGGCTATGTCCAAGCAGAGAATTCCAGGTAAGAAAGAAAAACATTTCACTGACAAACTCAAGTGTGCTGCGCTCTCATGCACAAAGGAGCAAATTGCTCATAAGCTTCTTTTTTTGGTCTTACGCTAGCTTAAGACTCAGGAATCTCTAGGACAGGAGGGGGGACGCCACCATCTGCGCATGCGCAATTGCCAGTCACATTCTTGTGGTAGACGTTAGAAGCATTATAAAGTCTAAACAATCAGCCCAATGTTTGCTGATTTGTAACAACGTGCCGAAATCACTTTAAACTTAATACAAAACATGTTTTGCTCACTTGGAAAATTATCAATACATTTAGTGTTCTATGATTAATATTTTACAGGGGGATGCTCTGCATCTTAGCATTCCCTGACGCTACCCCACTGCTAATTATTAGCTGTAGTGTGTTTGTAATTAATATTCTGAGAACCACAACAGTGAGAAAAACAAGGTATTCAGAAAATGTCGAGAAATTTGATGTTCTGTCTAGATGTACCAGAAAACTACATAACAAGTTTTACTGTCAAAAACTTGGCAATTTTTCTTGCTGTCTTTCAGTACTTTCTTTAAACTAAATAAACAAATGTACCAGTATAATGAAATAGTGGATACCGCAGTAATTGATTTCTTTCCATGAAATTTTGTCACACTGAAGAAAGTAAATTCTTAAGAACATTAGCAGCGGTTAGCTAACATACGTAGGTAGGTACATCACAAGACACAACCCTTTCAGCACTGTCACTGAAATGGGGATGGCAGTGGAAGTGCATCATAATTTCACAAGCGTTTTCTAACAAATGTTTCCTCAGACTTCTGTCAACATGTATCTACCCAACCTTGAAGAGTATTGCAAGAGTATTATTTGCTCTTTTTTAAAAACACACTCTCACACAGTTAAAAGCTCCAGTTATTCATTTTGCTCTTATAAGTTGTTCATGTTTATGCATTGTTGTTTATAAGTTCCAGCAAAATTCCTTTTCTTCTCACATTAAATTATTTCAGATATATGTTCTACATTATTTTGTATTCACACTTATTCAGCAATGATACAAATAGTGATGATGTACATACCATTATAGATTACCGGTAAGCAAGTACAATTACTTCATCCTAGAGGAGCCCAAGAAATCTGTGTTTGAGTAGATGTTCAGATTGCTTGGCTTTATTCGTAGGCAAGACCTGTCAGCCTAAAACCTAGAACAGGATGCAAGGAAATGTCGTTAGAGCTAACAGTGACCCTATGGCTTTGCAAAATGTTTGCATGTCAACAGTTATGGCTTTGCGTAATGTTCATGAGTCACCAGATACAGCTTTGAGTAATGTTAGAATGTTTTCTGATATGGATTCATGAAGTTTGTCAACATTGCACAGTAAACATCGGGCCCATTTGTATTAAAAATATGGGAAACTAATAATGATGGGACAATGATTATATTTCGGTGGGAAAATTTATACTTAGGTTCAAAGAAAGCAAATGGTCTAAGATCAGGGTCTTTTCAAAAGCGAGAACTTCATTTCTTCAAAATGTTATGTATTGAGAATATTATAGCCATATTATTTTCTAACTAACAATATTGTCAACATATTGAGTTATTTTGCACCTAGATTTTCCTAATTTTCAGTTATGCTTTTTTCTTAAACGTTTTTTCCTTGTAGTCCCCTGAAATACATATAAGTAAGATTTTACCATACATACTTTTTAGTTTTGATTAATTTTTACACTTGCTATCATCTCCAGACTTGGTTACTGGATGCCACGAAAAACAATGCTTTAAACATTTAAACATTATCTTTAGGAAAAAAATTAAAAATTTAAGTTAAGAAGCATGGCTCTATATAAATATGTTACAATGCAAAGACCGCCGCATTGGATCCAAAGCTTCAACATGAGATGTGTGGTCCAGTATTTGATGTAGTGTGTGTGTGCGTGCGTGCGTGCGTGCGCGTGGGCGTGGGCGTGTGCGTGTGCGTGCGTGTGTGTGTCAGTGGCGAACAAGTCCAGGAAGCAAAGATAACCCTGTGTTGCCTCTGACACAGGCTATGGTCCAGAACAAAGGTTTGTCTTTTATTCGTTGCAGGATCTTCATTACTAAAACATGAATTTACAAATGAAAAAGCTTGATTTGTATTAATGAAGAAATACAAAATAATTATATTCTGTACGTTGCAGAAAGCTTAACATAATTTTTCAGCAAAATTTTTACTCCAGTTTTTACAAATGAATTTAAAAATCTGTTCTTTTTTTATAGGTTTGCTTTTTTTCTGTTCAATTGGAAATCAAACAATACCGTTGAGATATGAAAGTGGTTGTTAGTAAACTTTGGGCTCCTTCCCAACTAATAGCCTGACTTCTTGCATTGGAAGATGTTCACAGTGCCACCAAGTGTATTAGTGTATGAAAAATTCTACAATGATAGAATCAATGATCCCTACGTATCTCCTGATCCTCTCATTCTTCTACAGATCTTTCGATATAGAGATTAGCAGGGTTGAATGATTTTAATATACATACTAAAATAAGAAAAATTGTTTTTTGTAAAACAGAATGAATTTCAGTTACGTTTTGAAAGTTAGAATCAGAAGCAAAAATGTGAAATTGTTGAATTCAATGTCCTGAATGTTCACATTTCATTGAAGTGAAATGATTTAACTTGTAATCCATAGGCAAATTGGTGGGTACCTAAAAATAATTTCATTTAAAATGAAATTTCTGTTATATTGGTGTTTGTTGAAAAGATAAGCCACTGTACTATTATATTCAAAAACTTCGGGAATGGAGTTTAAGGGTGATTCCACCAACCTATCATAAAGCTTCTTTTTGAAAGCATTCAAAGCTTATTGTAGCTAGTTTGTGTGATTGCAATACTATTATTCTAACAGTCTTTCACTGTAGCAAGAGAATGTTATGTAGGAGGCTGGATAGTAAAATTGCATATGTAATTATGCTTCAGAAAAATGGAAAGGAAAGCATTATCAATTACTGTGGGAGGTGGATTATGAGGTTCTTTAATAAGAATGTTTTACTTGGTAGCTCGGCAGTTATATTTTGTGGTAAAATTTATCAACTACAATATGTAATAATTTCATGTTTTGTGAATATTCATCTTGAAATGAGCCTGTTAGTCTGAAACTCACTTGTTGAGTTTTACTTTCAAAACAATTATTTCTGAATCACTGATTGGCTAGTGACAAAATGTTTCTTGTTAAACATTTCAAGTTTTTTGAAAATTGAGTTGGCATTGAGGAATGTGCTATCATCAGAGTATATCATGGAGTGAGTGGGTGCATCAGTGGATAGATAATTAATTACTGGTATAAATAGCGAAGATATGAGGTGACCTTGGAGGACACCACATATAAGCTCTGATTTGTTTGACCATTTGTTTTCGGTGCAGACAATTCGTTTGCAGTGTTTGAGATGAGATATATCCTACAGATTTCAAGGCCAATGCCAATTTTACTATAGTGGTTCTCTTTACTTACAAGAAAAGTGTGATACACACAATTGAAAGCTCTTCTGAAGCCACTGAGCAAAGTCCTTTCCTTAATGCCTTAAAGCACTTTTTAATTAGAGAAATAATTGCATTAACTGTTGACCTTCCTTTCCGTCATCAAAATCGTACTTTACTAAATATGTTGGAATGTTCAAAATAGGCACACATTTGGAGTGTACGTTACTGCTTCATAAGAAACTAATTGGTCTAAAGACAGGGTGTGCATTGGCAATTTTCTGGAAAAGGAAATATTTTTTATTTCCCCTCTTCTTGGAATTTTGGATGAGAGAAGGTCATCTTCACTTACCTACCACGGTTAGAATTATTCCTAAAAATTCTCTTGCGAAAATTTGTCTAATTTCAATGATTTGAACATTTCAGTGTGGAAATCATGGTCAAGGCAAGTATTCTGGATTAATTGTATCCCTGGCAAGATGAAATTAATACTTTTCCAGCAGGGGACATCAAACTCACTCGGAGGGGATGTCTAGATATGAGTCACTTTTACTCATTGAACAACTTCATAATTCATTGTTTATATATTGGAACAAAGTTAATTTTAATGGGTTTGAGTGGACTCCTTTCCTCAAACATTTATTAATACATAATGAGAGTAGCTCTGCTTTGCTTTAGTCTTCTTTTCTTATGAAGATTGCTAGATATCTGAAGGTTTAAGTTTGCTCACTTTTTCGTCTAAATCCAATATTTCCAAAGGTGTTACTTCAGAGCATGCACAAGTGCTTTTCGAATACAGTTCCAGGTTGTGACTACTTGTTTAACTCCAAAAGGGTTTTATTTGCTTGTGTGATGCAAATTTCTTCCACAGTTGACAAAAATTCATTCAGTTAAATTGAATGTATCATCAACTCTTGGTGTCACTAATATGCCTTCTTGCTGCAATTATCACCCTGCTGAAATTTCTGGTGCAAATACACGTTCATGTGTCACATTTCCCTTTCCAATTCATGTGCAGTTCCTCGAGGTCCCCAGCCTTTCTATGGCTTTTTCATAGTCTTCCCTATATTTCTTAGCTGTTTGATCTTGAGAGCTCGAATTTGCAATTTTCTCTAAGGAGAATCTTCGAAACTCTTCCCCCTCCCCATATTTTATACATCAAGGTACTATTTCAGCATGTATCTTATAGTACTATATTGCAAACGGGTATTATTTCGTCACGAAATTGCAAGCTTCAAGGTCGCGGCAAGTGTGCAATGTTGCCATTCAAACCGATGGTACTTCTTTCCGGGGAAGTCCCATTTATCTCGAAGGGAACGACTGCCCGTTTGACACCGAAAGCATTGTTTGGAAGATCTGGACAAATTCGGAGTGCACGGAACTGCCTTCTTCAAAAAGGCGTAATTCAATAGCGTCGTAAAGTACACATTGCTTGCAATAATCGTCCTCCGGTGCTTCCGTGTTTCGAACGCCGCCTTGTACGTCTACTCTTACCTTTTGGCCCACTTCGTGTGACACTTCTTACGCCTCGAACTCCGCCGGCGGAGGCGATTGTGCCCACACAGACCCTCATGCGTCATGGGGAGCGACCACTGTCCTGCGGACATGGGTCCTTTCCGCGGCAATGGGCGAGAGCCGAAGAGGAGAGCGAGGAGCCAAAAGGCCTCGGGGTTTGCTTTTCCTTGATGCAAACTTTGGTAATTGAATATTTTATAAAACTGTGATGAGTCATTTGTGAACATTAGAGCTGTAAAAGAGTAGTGATTCATCTGTAATAGTACACCAGAATTGTAACTTTAGAATGCCTTGCATTCCTGTCTTGAAGAATTTCCTCGGTCACAGAAGAGGAGGAGAAATACAGGAGGTGCTGTAGGAAAAGTGTCGTATATCTGTGCGCTGACAGAGTGAGCTTGTGTGTTACATTTCATTTCTGTTTGCAGTATGTGGAATATGGTCTGCAATCTCAAGAACCTCCCAACAGACCTCAAGGCCCAGTGCTGCCTGCTAATTTGATGGGCATTTTGTCACCAATGCCTGCAGTTACAACAGCTTACAAAACAATGACATCTACTACAATGACAACTACCACAACTATTGCTAAATCTACTACAACAACTACATCTGCAATTCCAGCAAGGGTATTTCAGTATCCGTTTTCTTTTCTTGCTGTATTTAATTTTTTGACAGTTCTAAACATGTTTATTCACTTCCATTTTTAGCCATCTATTGCAAATGCCACAAATATTGATACATTGCTTGTTGCTACTGAAAAAGAGGAAAAATTCACTGCACCACCTGAAGGACTGCAAGACAAAATTGGTTTTGTTTTCAACAACTTAAGTCAGCTAAACCTCCAGACAAAGGTACTTATATTACTTTCCAAAATGATGTGCTTATACTTCACCTCTATATAAATGTTCATATTTCAATGTTCTGAATAAAAAATTAAATCTTGTCTGCAAAATTACTTAATTAATAAATAGTTAGTTACTTAGTTAATAATATAATAACTTCTTTTTCAGTGTGATGAGTTGAGAGATATCGTGACTGAAGAATATTGGCCTTGGATGGCTCAGTATTTGGTGATGAAAAGAGCTAGCATTGAATTGAATTTCCACACACTGTATTCCAATTTTTTGGATTGTCTTAAATTACCAGATTTGAATCATTTAGTTCTTCGTGAAACATTCAGAAATATCAAGGTATTGTTACATAATTAAGTTCTAATGCATGAATAAAATTTTTGTTTGGTATATCTATCTTAATTTGTGTGCTTAAATATAATTAGTGCACTCGTGGGATTATTTTGGAACATTCCATTAAGACTTGTTCGATAAATTTCATTTTTTCTGGATGTAGGAATAAATTGCAAAATATTAGAGTATAAAATGTTTTTAACTTTCTTACAAATATTTAATTATTCAAAATAATAATGACACTAACAACATATAATGTTTCAAGGAAATGTTACCATATTTACCCAAATGTAGGAGTTCTCAAAATGTAAGATGCCTCCCCTAATATTGAAGAACCCTTCCGAGATATTTTTTCATTTTAAACTTACACTGTTAATTCAGCCTCTGTAAAATCACAAATAGTCTTACTGGCTTGAAAATGCCCTTGTGTATGAGAACCTGAAGTCCTGTATGCTATTTGTTTTCTTCTATATAATCATTGTTCTACCTTTTACTTCATTTCTATAATTTTTTCCTTCTTTCTTGTGGTCCTCCTTTCATATCAGGTCACCTGACTTTTTGGTCCCCCGATAGTTTCTCAAATTGATTTGAGTTCTGTGTTTTTCATCTGATGCTTCCTAGGGCTTCTCTTCTATGATACCAAATGTTTCCCCTGCTGCCCTATAGTTAGTGACCTCTCTTTCCTTAACAACTAATAACTTGAAATTCACATTGTTTTATGCCTACAAGGTATTGTTGTGAACTGTAAACTCCTATCCTCCTACCTCAACAAATTCAGCCACAAATTTCCTTCTTTTTCATGTTGTGTTGCACTTACTTCAGTGCCATTGGTTTGAAGGTTGGTCTTTTTCAATCTATTCATAAATATCGATCTGAATTGCTTGGTACGAGCATGTGGATGCTGAGAAAACATCCACAAGATACATTCAGAATTATAGATGCATACGACTTATTATTGCCCCTGCAGTTTAATGTATCATCGGCATTTAAACTTGATGATAGCAAAATGCTCATTAATAATATTGGTCCCAACTGGCTAAGCTTAAATTGTGAATGTAAGATAACCGCATGTTTTTCGAACGAGGCATTTAGGAAGAAATGTCTTATAAACAGGTGAATACGGTTCAATGAATGTGGAAAATCAGGTAATTAATGCTACAATGCAGCAATGTGAAGGGCAAAGCAATCATTTATTTATTAATTTAGTAATATTTGATTTGTAAATAAAGTTTTTAATAAAATATATTATTTCCTTTGAAAATTAAAAAAATTCCCTGGATTGAAAATCCTTTTTGAATTATATTTCTACATTGCCTGTCTCACTTTCATTCCTTGAACAAATCTATTTCAGTATTCATTGTTTTGATGCTACTTTGCAATGCACATTTTATTTTTTATTTTTCTGGTTGCTCCAAGTCATGTCTCTGATTAAATGAGTTATTCTACGAAGTTGGCATTCTTTCATGTAATACAGTAAGGTTGTGTTTAGTTCTTTTGGTTTATACAAACCAAATATTACTACTTTCACTATTTGATATTCTTCTGATTTTCTTTTAACTTCAGGTTCTTCTGAGGAGCGACAAAGGTATAGCAAATTTCTCGGATCGATCTCTTCTGAAGAATCTTGGCCACTGGCTGGGTATGCTCACTCTGGCCAAAAATAGGCCCATTCTTCAAGAAGATATTGATTTGAAATCTCTTCTAGCAGAAGCCTATCATAAAGGACAACAAGAATTACTGTATGTTGTTCCTTTTGTTGCGAAAGTCTTGGAATCATGTGCAAAAAGCAAGGTTTGTGCATCATGTGTTTCATATAGCCTGTAAAATGTAACTTTAACCTTCCTCTTAAAAATAATTTTTACTTGATCAGGTTTTCAAGCCACCTAATCCATGGACAATGGGGATTATGAATGTACTTGCAGAATTACATCAAGAACCAGATCTTAAACTGAATCTCAAATTTGAAATTGAAGTACTTTGTAAAAATTTAAATATTGATGTTGCTGTAAGTATCGTGATTACTGAATGTCATTGTATTATTCAGTAAACTTTGGCCTCATCATTGACATAATTTTGTACTTTTTCTTACTATATGAATCTAGTATCTTCAATTGCAGGAGCTAAAGCCCTCGGTTTACCTGAAAGATCAAGGCAAACTTCGCAATATAGAATACCAACTTTCTCATCCCAATAAAAAGTCGGACTCATCACTGCAGCCAAGTGTGTCCCAGTCTCCAGCCCAGCAGCCAGCACAGGGTAGTCAGCCTCCTTCCTCTCAGCAGAGCCAACCTCAGGCCCCTGCTACAGCACAGGCGCAGCAGCCCCAAGTGCAGGTGCAGCCCCAGCCTCCACCTTCACAGCAACCAGGCCAGGCACAGCAGGCACCAGCTCAGCAGCAGCAGCAACAGTCACAACAGCAGCAGCAACAGTCACAACAGCAGCAGCAACAGTCACAACAGCAGCAGGCACCACAGCAGCCACCACCACCTCCTCCACAGCAGCAGCCACCTGGTGAGTCTCTGGATGCACTCCTCTGGTGCTGCTGTAGGCTTGTGCACCACACTCCGTATTTGGGTGGATAATGCATTCTCAGACGGGTGGGTTTGAGCCAGACACACTTTCAATGGATTTGTTGAATGTTAGAATGTCATGATGTTCTGCTTTTCACAAGAGGGTAATCTTGTATTGAACTAATGAACTTTGAGCTGTATTCACACCAAATTTTCAAAACAAAAAAAACAACAAAAGAGATTTGAATATTTCATATTTGTGTACCATATCTGGGAATTCCAAATAAAATATTTACCCCAAAAAGTTTGTTATAATCCATGATTGTAGTTTTATTTATCAGTATTACAAGTTTTTAAGTGATTTGCAGATCAGTTGAATAAGTTTATATACAGCCAGAGATGATTTGTATACTATCATAAAAATATGTTTTCAATATATACACATAACAGAATGTAATTAATGTTATTAAAGGAATACAAATATTATACATATAAAATACTAATTATGAAAATGTAAGAAAAAGTTTTAGCATTAATAATCCAGTGCAGAAAAAAATTGTTGACATATTTAAAATATTACAAACGAACACTTTTTTCATTATAATCTCATGCTTTTTCATTTTACTGACTATATTCGTAAATTTGAGTGCATACAAAATCAGGCAACCTTTCCTGAGACATTTTGTAACATTTTTGCTTATCATGTGTTTTACTAAAATTTTAAAATAATATTAAATATTACTGTGTTTATGAGTATTAATGTGTTGACAGTACCTTAAGGCACAGGAACTTACAGCTTCTTAATTATCAATCGTGATTTTGAATATGTTCTGATTAGTATGATTTTACACACTATTTCATAATATAGTACATGTTTCCTGAGAGAACACATCTAGTCAACGTTGAGAAATTATCTATTCATGGAATATGGATTTTAGTAAATATTTAAGATCTACCATTTCCAATCACATATTGAATTTTATTTCAACTTTTGTAAATCTTATATGTTTAGACTGGAGATGAATTTCAGGATTTCAACGATGATGATCGAAAGGTACCGAACTTTGTAGTTTCATAGTTAAATGATGTGCAAAAAAATAAGTACTTCGATATTTGTGAATAACTTCAATATATTATGAAAAAAAATAGTTTAAAGTGTATTTAGCAGCAGGAAGGGATATGTCTTTATGGATCTTTTTGATTTTGAACATTCGCAAAAATTATACAGCTGGTCTAATTTAAATTCTGTTTCATATTCTGTTGAAAGAGGGACTGGTTTGATAATAAAAGGGATGTTTTCAACAAGAAATCTCATGACCCTCAGGCAGCTAAAGCATATTTGTAGTACTTTTAATTGTTTGGAAATTGAAAGAAAACTTCAAATTAAAGGCTTGTTTTGGTGAATTGCCATGCATTCAAACCCTATTTCATCAACCCACACTATATTTTCTATAGAGTTCCCCCATTGATATTGTGCATGTGTATTTGACTAGAATTCAGTTATGTTTAATTTTCAGCTTCTTCGAACACGATTCCCGGACCTGCTTCATCTGATGAATTGGCTCAGATCGCAATTTCATCAGCTGCTACACCACCTACTTCAGTTGCACCTACAAATACAACACCAACATCGAATCTTCCTTCAGGTCCCCCAGATCCACGATTCAGTTACATGGACATCAATGTAACTGGAATTGGAAGCCTTGCTCCACATGTGACAGTTAATAACCAAGTATGGGATATAAATATGTATATTTTCATACTCTTGAATTGAAGATTTTAGTTTGCAGGTCTCATTGATGACTGTTTTTTCAGTTGGCGCTCTTTCAAGCTCATCCTCAGTTGAAACAGTTTGTCCGTCCAGCTGTAGAAAGGGCTGTGCAGGAATGGATTCATCCTGTTGTTGATCGCTCCATCAAAATTGCCTTGACAACTTGTGAGCAGATAGTGAAGAAGGTAATAATTTCACTAGTTTTGAAAAAAAAATGTCTCTGAATTTTTTTCATCTAAACTTGATTTGAAAACTGCTTCTTTTAGGATTTTGCATTGGATCCTGAAGAGTGCCGCATGCGAGCTGGTGCCCACCACATGGTTCGCAATTTAACAGCTGGGATGGCTATGATCACATGCAGAGATCAGCTTTTAGTATCAATCAACAATAATTTGAAGACAGCTTTCCTCTCAGCTTTGCTGGTATAAAATCAATTGTTTGTTAGATTCATTTTGTAGATTATATTTATTGAATCCTAACAATTGTTAATTTTTATCTTAGGGTGCTACTCCCCAACAGAAAGAAATGATTGAAATAGCCGCTCAACATGCTGCTCAGGATAACATGGAGTTGGCCTGTGCTTTTATTCAGAAGACAGCTATAGAGAAGGCAATACCTGAAATAGACAAGCGTTTGCTTAATGTAAGAGAAATTAAGTTCTTGTGAATTTCTTTCTGGTTTGTTATCTTTGCGTATTCTTTCTGATGGTTGAAAATGTTTTCATAAATGTCAATGATCTACTTTTTCCGGCAGAAAAACTCTTTCTTTTGACTTTCATCGGATACAAAAAAAATTGTGTGTATGGTGGAAAAATCCTTTCGCATGAGTAATAAAATAAAGAAAATTTACAATACTCTTTTATTCAAAATACTTTACTTTATTGAATAGATGTTGTATCTCATAGAATTCAAAATGCACTAATTCTACTGAATAAAAAAAAGGTATTGTTGTTTTACCTTCTGTTGAATTCTTTCAATTTAGATTTCTAATTCTTACTCATGATCAAAACTACTGGTGAGCCTGCTACAGAAATATATTGTTTTTTGTAAGTGAGTGTTGGAGCAGTTACTTCTGCACAAAAAGGCTCTTATCACTATTGCTTCTTTCACTGTCATTTTCTATCTGAACAAGTTGCTCAACCTTACCTTCCTTAGGTATGATTTACACACTCTGAAATGAAAAGAACCTTGCATTTAAAAATTCCATTTCTAGCTAAGATTATGCAGAAATCAGCACAAGTTCTTATTCTGTTACTTCTGGTTCATTTCTTCCTCCTGAGTCTGCAAAAAGATAGCTTTCTAAAACTATTGAATTTAGTAAATTTTTTAATGTCTTTCCATTAGTTTACAATGTAGTTCAGTGTGTTAAGGATGTACATGTTCATGACTTCCCCTGACTCCAAACCAATGACCTCTGTCCAATACTTCAATAATATGCCTTAAACGGATTATTTTGAAGTTCATATGACGCACCTTGCTTGTTGCTTGTGAGGTTTGCAGGCAATTTCATTTTCTTTGAATGCCCAATCAAATCTTCTGTTTTATGCTCCCCTCAAGAGCATGCATCTGCTTTTGAAATGACTGATGTCATTAAAGCTTTTTTTAAAAATCATTTTGAGGTGAATGTTTTCACTTTCTTGAAGCAATTTTATTGGATTATTGGTCCCTGATGGTAAAGGGGCTAATGATTTCAAAACTGTCAGCATTCTCACCCATTTTCAAGCAATTTTCACTTTCAAATGCAAGGATTTTGTTCAGATCACAATAATATAAATCGGTTATATCTATATTAAATATGTTTTTGGGTGCATACTCCTTTGAAGTCCCTCAATATCCTGCCATGTCATTCTTGAATACTTTCTTCCAGCACTGCATTTCTTTCTCTACACACTGCCTTATAAACAATGTTAGAACACTTTCAAAGGCAATAAAGCCTCCCTTTAGATGGCAAAAAAATTTCAATGCCGAACTTATCTACCTTATTCAGTATTTTCTCTCTTAACATGCCACTCAAAGAAATGTTTAATGCACATGCTGTTACGAACCGGTTCTTCAGAATTTTCTCTTACTCCTAATACTTTATTTAATTGGCATAATTGTGTTTCTTGCAAAAAGGCTTCACAAAAATGCTTGCTTTCATTTATCACAAAAACTGTCGCTTTCATTTATCAGAAAATCACTTGCTTTCATTTATCAGAAAATCGCTTGCTTTCATTTATCAGAAAATCACTTGCTTTCATTACCAGAAAATCGCTTGCTTTCATTTATTGCAAAAACGCTCGCTTTTATTAATCATTAAAATGCTTGCTTTCATTTATTACAAAAACACTTGCTTTTATTTATCACGAAAACTTTCCCTTTATTTATCACAAAAATGTGCACTTTTGTTTCTTGTAAACATACTCATTTTTGTTTCCTAATAAAATACTAGTTTTATTTGCAATTTTGTTTATTGAGTTTGTATATCTATATATTGTATTATGCCTGGATTCTCGTATTTCTTGCTTTGCTATGCTTTTTTTAGTGTAACACAGGTACCTTTATGGACTTGAGTCTCCTCTAGAGTTTTAAAGTTTTCAAGAGTGGAAAGACTCTTTCCCTCTCATTTTTAATGCATTAAATGCTAAATATTTCTTTAAATTCAGATTGTGAAATAGTTTAAGCAAGGATTATATACACTCATTGTAAACAAGGATATCGAAAGGGCTGAAAAGTCTAAAATTTGAAGAATAAAAGTGGGGTTGAACTGCCAATTGTGATGATGCTGATAGTATTCAATATTTATTCACAGGAATTTGAATTGAGGAAGCATGCTCGCAATGAAGGAAGGAGATATTGTGATCCACTTGTCCTGACCTATCAAGCAGAACGTATGCCAGAGCAGATACGACTCAAAGTTGGAGGAGTGACTCCTCAGCAGATGGCAGTTTATGAAGAATTTGCTCGTAACATTCCTGGCTTTCTTCCCTTAACTGAGCGAGATGCTGCAATGTTTATTCCAAAACCTGTAACAGTAAGTCGAAATGAATCTGAAAGTTGTTTCATTAATAAGTGCATGACTTATTTCCAACTCTTAATTTATTGCATACAAATTACATATTAATCCCAAGATATTAGTGAGTAAATTATCTTGTTCTTCGATACTGAAGTATCTACTTTGACTACTGAGGTATTTTGCGCATCGAATTCCGAGGAGGGTAACAAAGTATGTCCAAGGTTCCTCAGTTCTTGTACCTTCTCAGAGGGTAAGGAGCGTACATACAAGGCAAGCATTTTGAGAAATAGTATTATTTATTTATTTCATCTGTATCGTGAGCATTTGTATAATCTCGACTAAAAAGTGGGTTTGTAAGGTTGTTTGAATTACCTCCTAAAATCCAATAAAAGGGAGATTTCATGAAACAGAATGACAATGGTAGAGGCATTGGTGAATCACTTTCACCAAGAGTTTCATGTGATTGGATGTAGAGTACAATTTCTCATCCCATAAAGTTCTAGCCAGAATCAAAGAAGGGTAAAGTTTGAAAGTCAGTATTTTATTGCAATTGGAAATATATTGAATTATTGAATATAAATCTGGTTTCCAAACTTTTTGCTGCTATGACTCCCCAAATTCTGCACATGCATCTCATTACAATCAAATTGTTAATAGCAGCTAAATATCTCATTCTGGAGATTCATTCTTGCCATGGCTGAAAAATTGAAGTTCTCGTGTCTCCCCTTTGAAACTGGCACGCCTCCCTGGGGAAGCGCACCTCACAGTTTGAATAACACTGGAATATAGTATTGATTTATTTATAAGGACAATAACCTCTGGAACTAAAATGAAATAAAAATATGAAGGTAATTCGGAGAATGTATTAACAGCTTTATGTATCTCACAAAACATACATTTACAAACTAATGGCCTCTAGATGCATTCTTGAACTAAGAATTGCATATAACAGATGTAATTCTAAAATATTACATTGAAACCTGCTTAAACAACCTTAATTGACTCCTATTAAATGGTCATCTTCAGTAACTGTAATAGAATAAAAAGTGGAAGGGCTGCATATATTGTATACAATATTTTCTTGTGACATATTGTCAGAGAACTTTGAAGAGTAACAGCTAGAGACACCAGTCTGGCAAGAATTTAATTTGTGTAAAAACAGTTGATTTTACTACAGCTCTCAATGCAAAACAATGTGTGTGCTTTGTTTATACCAGAGCTTTCTCTTGAAGTTCTTTAATTCTTCTTCCTCTCTATGGGAACTTATTGATGGCCAAGAGAATTGTGAAATGAATCAGTCTCTTGTGCAAAACTGGTCTAATGGTCATGTGTAAACTATTTTGTTGGTCAAACCTGGCAACAGAATTGCATTTGAAAGAGTTAATTTGCAACTTCAGTACTGTGGAGAAGGAAAGCGCGTTTCGCAGGGTGAAGAATGTTTGACACTTGCTGAGAGAAGGCATGTGCCAACAAACATTTCATCTAGCAAACTTGTTTTAATGTGGCAGGATGCAAATGTAATATAAAAAAATAAAAAATTGAGCCCATTTTTATGAAACGTGTAACTAAAAAAACATGAACTCAACCGAACTCCTCTAAACAAACAATTTAAGGCATTATTTTGTTAAAAGTAAATAAAAATCTATGTCGCAGATAGATGTCCCTGTATCTTGTAATTCAAATCTTTTTTTTTTTTTTTTTTTTTTTTTTTTTGTATAAGGTAGTTAAAATGATTTTACCAAATACATTTTTAGTTAATAACAATTAGCAAATAGGACCTGGTCTGCACTTCCCCTAATCTTAAAACCTTGATCAAGCAAATGTAAGGATTTAACTGGCTCATCAACAAGACAGTTTCCTAATCAATTCGTTTTGATTTTATTTTAAGTGGTTAGTAAGAATTAGATGCAAAATTTAAAAAATCTCAGGAGGCCACTAGAGAGTTATGTCCTAAATTTGGAGTATTTGTATATTCGGGAAAATGCAATGAATTTGTAAATATACAAAATATATAGTATACAGATACAGGGTGACCAGGGAGGAAACATCAAAGGAGGAAATTTGAAAAATAGCTCTTAAGAAAAGTATATTTTGTGTAATACACTACTTGGAAATTCCAAATGGCTGAGCCACAATAAAGACTCCAAAGTTGGTTTCAAAAAAATCTTTCTATGCAAAAATGTGTATTGCAGAAGCATATAAACATTGGAGAAACTTGTAAATTGTTTATTATTTACTAAAGGAATGAATATATTTGTTCAGAAAGAAAAATTAACATAGAAATAGAAAAGCTCCCAATTTGACTCCTTTTTTATTTCTGGGTTCCCTGTTCCTGTTCTTGGCTCATATGAGCTATGGCTGCCCAGGCTCTCGACCGTGGGAAAAAATGTTCATGTGGTTAGCACAAAGACATCCCTCCACCGTATATTCTTGTCTTCTGAACCTTAGGGTGGGTTTTCTCATTGTCACACAGCAAAAGATACTGAGACATTTGCAAGGATAATTTCATAATTTTGCACCAGCCAGGAATTGAATCCAATGTTGCACCATGGAAAGCAAAGCATGCTAACCAACGAGTTAGAGTTTTCTTTGGTATGGAAATTTTATATTGTAGTATTCTTGCATTATTTTGTACTAGTTTGTGGGTATTATTGAGCATGTTATGATGATGAAAGTCCGTCAGGTAATTAAAATTTGTTTTATAATTAGTAAAATCTATTTTTTTATTAATATGTGAAGAAATGATTTTTTAATAAATATTTTGTGAAAATGGCAGGTCAATTTTTACTTGCTTGAGTGAAACCATGTGGCCTTACATTTCAATGTTAGGGTATTAATTATTACAGAAATGTAAATGTAAAAATAAATAAATGCAGAGAAAGTTATCTGCTGAGAAAGGAAACTGATTTGCAAGAATTTGAAGGACAGGAACTTTACGATGTAATTATAGGACTGATGGTAAAGATACTTCAAACAAGAGAATACTATCGAAGCTAAAATTTCAGAAGAATGTTATGGGCATACCTGGATGCATGAGCACTCAACTCGGAATTTTTTTAACACTGGCAATGGGAGTGGAATTCCACTCACTGGATGGGAAATGTTTTTTGAATTTTATATAGTTCTGAAAAGTTCTTGAAAATATAATTGTGAAGATGTTTGGAACATTTTTCACTGGCAATTTCTTGTGTTGTGGACTCTATACTATCTTAATCTCATATCAGTGCAATGATCTCATGCTTTCATTAGCTCTCTTGTTATTCTCTATTCTCAATAAATAAAATTTCCGTACTCAAAATGCTTTCTTTTATGACCAAGACTTAACATATTGTAATTGAAAACATTTACATTTTTTTCAGACTTATGGAAGTGATGAGATTGGCACCATGTACGATAAACTGGTAAGTGAAGTAGAGCATTTCCTCCAGCCAGTTCTTGGATCTCAAGGTGTGATCTCATCAAGTTGCCATGTTAATAACCTTCACAAGTTGCTTGAAGCTCTTCTTATTGCCCGAAGATCAAGAGATGTTATGTCGGCTGTTTCTCTGTTGCAAAAGGTAGTATTACATAGATTTCTTGTTCCTATATATTTGGATTGTGTTTTTATACAGTGAATGAAATAATTTAAAATTTCAGGCTGTTGAAGGTTTGATGGATGGCTTGGTTCAAACAAATAATAATACTGATCAAGAACTAATGCTAACCTACAGAGAAATTCATCTTAGGGTTTTGAAAACTTTGCAAGATCCACGTGCATATGGCATTCAGTGGACAAACAAGCAAGTCACTAGGTAAGAAAACGGTTCTTAGCTTCAACATATTTATAACTCTTTAATTTTGTAATACATTTTGATTTTGCCTAAACTAAAGAATCTTTCCAGTGTGCTTTCTATTTCAATTTTCTCATATAAGTATTTTAGAGAAAGTTTTCTAACCTTGCAACATGCTGCAGTGTTGGTGAAAATACATGTGTTGGAATGCATGAGAGCAGCAAAGTTTTTTAATCTTGTCAAACTCAAAGAACTACAAATTTGATTTGATTTTTAAATTTTCAGAGTTACTTCAAATAGGTCCCTTGTTCCTTTCTTTTTAATTTTCTCAAAAATTAAAAATTCCAAAAATTGTCTTTCCTTTTTTTGTGTGAATAGAGGATAGTGCACTTAAACATATGCTGGAAGTCCAATTTTCATGAAATTGTCTGAAGTTAATGATGTTATTCTTAAAACATCAGAAAAATAGGATGTCTGTATGCAAAAAAGACATCACAGGAAGATGGCACTTTGATTCAGTAGCTACAAAAAGGGAAGATGAAATAAACAATTTTTAATAGAAGAATTTCTATATGATAGAGAAAATGTTCTTTATAAGAAAATCTCTTAGTCTTTTAAGCAAAATTATTGTTTCTTGCATAGCCTTGTCTTTTTTTACATCGACCTATTGGGATCTACACAGAACCTTTCATCCTAGTCATGAAAAATTTTTCAAAACGAGTCCAGGAGACACTGAAAAATGATACCAATTTTCTGTTACTTTTCTTGGAATCACAGTTGTTAAGTCGTTCAAGTGGGTGAAAACCTTCATTTATTTAGCAATGATATTAGCAAGAAAGGTTTAATAACCAATACCTTCACTTAATTGAGAGCAGATTTTGTGTTGTCAAATAGATAATTTAACTTCAAATTTAAAGTTGATGTTCAAAATTGAACTTGTACTGTGATCTTCAAAATAATTCTTGTTTTGTATGCCTGCATATGTTGTGTGAAATCATTCTTGTGTTGTTAAATATCTAAGTACTATCACATCTAATTTTTAAATATTTTATTTGTAGTTCTGTTTCTGTAGAAATAAATTGACTGATCTCCCATTTGTTCTGACTGTTCTGTGAATTTATTTTTATTCTAACATAATCAAATTACATTTATTCAATGCGTTAAATATTGATGAAAAGTTGAAAAGGTTGAAAATTGTTTTTTATACAGGTGTTTAATGGAGTGTCGAGAAGAGTTTCGTTATAATCTGGAAGCAGTTGATACCCTAATCCGAGCTCATTTAGTTAACATGCAGCAGTATGATTTACATCTGGCTCATGCAATGGAAAGTGGTTTGAACTACGTGGCTGTTGCATTTGCTATGCAGTTGGTCCAGACTTACCTAGTTGAAGAACGACATAATCCAAGTATAACCGAAAACGATTTGTACAACACAATTGAGATGTTGGCTCGAATTGCAGCCCATTCCAGGCAGCCACCAGATGGGTATGTCGATCTGTTTTGCAATATTTTATTATCCATTGTTTAAAATGTGTATGTGGTAATTACATGTGGTATTTCATTTCTTTAGGTTGACTACTTTAATTGAACTACTTCGAGCTAATCACGATCCTGCTTTGCTTGTGGATCGTGCCCAAGGAGGTCCCACAGCTCATATCCATTCGGGCATTTTGCAAGTCAGGGTCTGTATACTTACCTAATCCTTTCTTATATAGGGCAGTAACTAAGAAAAATTAATGAATTGTACAATACTTGCACCCTGACCTGTATAAAGTTTAAATTTGGATGTACTGTGTCTTTCTGTACTGAAACTTTACTTACTTTTAAGTTTTTAATGAGTTTATTTTCTGTTCTATCTTTCTTAGAATAAAATTGTTAAGGAACTTTCATGTTTTGGAAGAAAAATCTTTTATTCATGTCATAAGCAATGAAAAGATTTTTAAGAAGTTTAGAGGTTCTAAAGATAATTCTTTTTACAAGCTGTAATTTAGAAAAAAGGGAAAAAGTGCATCTTGGCACTGGGATGGTGATCCTGTTTTATATTACAAAAATTGGTAATATTATACACATAAAAGTTAGTAGTACTGGAAAAAATAATAGGCCTTTTTGGACATCCTCAGAAAACACTTTAGTAAGATGTTTGTGAAAAATTCTATATTTACTTTACTATAAGATGACTGAATTTTGAAGAAGCCTTCTGCAAATTTTTTTAATGTTTTATTAACCATTTGATTACTACGGGTGTGCCTACAATGAGTCAAATAGTGAGTGCAATAGGTATGGCATTGAAGTGTGTTGAGCCCACTGGTCGGGCTGAGCTTAACCCTATCTGTTGCGGTTAGTTTGAGATTATGGAGAAAATCCAGTTATAATGAAACATACACAGGAAACTTCAAACAACCACTAAAAGGCAAGTAACAAAAGTTAAATGAAAATATGTGTTAGGTAAGACCTAACAGGACTTCAAGGATGCCAGCGTTTTGTAGAATTGAATGGTAAACAGCGATAGGAAAGTGACTATGACCATAAATTTCTTTCTGTGACGCAATCCATGCAGAGAGAGATTTTCCAACCCTCTCATTATTTACAGAATTTAAGAAACCAACTTCAGTCTTTCCTACTGAGTGGGCACTCAGCCAGATTTGTATTGTAGCAAAACCCTAAACTAACTCACAAACGTAAGACCAGCAACCCAAAACAACATTAAGATATCAAGATAGTGTGCATCACATACGAAAAACATCTCCAGAATCGTTTGGCCCTTGCAAAAGGTATTATAAGAATGAGAATGGCCTTGTGTCTACGTATCCAGAAGCTCCCAGTGATGGCCTGGCTGCATGTGCTAACATGCCCAGAGGCCCTCGGGCATGGAAATTTTTTTTAAGTGGCAACACGTCCAGAGCAGTCAAAGGGTTAAATCTAAAAATCCAGGCAATGAAATCGTCATAGTCTTAAGCCAGGATTGAAGAATCATATTTGCATCCTCCTTAGCCAGCACGGGTAAAAGCTGGTTGGAATGTGTTGTGCAGATGGACCATGCTTAATATTTCTGTACTAACAATGTGCAGTTTGACTACCTAGTACTCCTGTACGAGATAGTCTTTCTCCTTTTTTGGGTCCCCTGAAAGTTTTACACATTGAATTGCATTCTTAGTATTTTATCTTACACTACCTCTCTTCTGTGATACTACCAATTTTTACTTCCTCACATACTGCTTACTAAGTACAGAGAAAGTATTGTACTGCTGTGGGGGAAAAAACACAATTTTTTGACAGTAAAACTCATATTGTGGGGTCCTGATTCAGTAAAAGTAGATAAATTTTATTCCAATATGCAGTACTTCCTCTAACACATATACTCATAATCCATGTGTTGTGGGTCCTTGATATTGAAACATTAATTTATGGCAAAAGTGTCTCTGACTGTCTTCGAACAGCACTAACAGCAAAACTATTAGCAAGATTTTTCACTGTAATTGATATTCCACAATTGATCTGCGTCATGTCATGGCCCCTTATATTTGAAATTGATATTGTTTATGGGGGCGTACTTTATATGAAGATCTAACATTTTAAAAAAATTTCTCAAAACGTCTCCAAATCTTTTGATTTTTGCATTGGATAGCTTAAAAGAATGGCACCAGTTGCATTTTCATTAAAATCCCTGATTTTTTGAAAAATTGTAAAAGTCAGTTTTTCAGTGTCTTCCTACAATTACAGTATCAGAAATAGTATTTTCTTTTCTTAATGAAATTTGTTCTTCAAAGTCGAATCTTTAAATAAGGTCCGCTACAATTTTCATAAAACTCAGTATATATCAGTCAGTATTCAAAGTAGTTAAATATTGTAAATGGTCACAAAGTGAGAGAAGATTAAATGAAGAATCAAAAAAGGCGTGACAGCAGCAGAACAAACCCAGAGGAGAAGGCAATGTTCATAAGGTGAGGAGAATTACAGTTGGGAGAATACCTGTTTGCAAGTTTAACAATCATACAATAAGTATTAACAATAAAATGGTACTGATGGAATACAACAAAACAAGCAGATGTATAGTTTGAAAATGACATTTATAAACCATTGACATCTGGCACTGGTGCACTTTAGATATTTAATGGCAAGTAGTTGTGTTCTATTTGTGAACAAATATAGTCCCAAATTGATTTAAAATGGTCAAATGTAGCAATGTTGCAATTCTTTCAAGAATTCACACATGAAGGTAATGTTCTTGAAGTGTTTTACTTATTTTAAGTATAGATGTTAGACTTGCTACAACTGCTGATACCAGAGTATTCTGGGTTCAATAGTCTACAAAATGTTGGCAAAGGTATTCTAGTGGAAGATGCTCTTCAGATGTGTTCCAGTGTCAGTCTGCATTTATCCACAGACACCACATAACTAAATTCAAATGTTTCTCTTAAAACTATTGCTTATTACACAGTTTGTCAGAACAAGAGTTATGGGCTGAGATTAATTCTACTCATAAGGACTTTAAACACTGATGCATCAAAGAATCTTCCAAAACCTTTCTGAAAAATTTTGTAAGAGATTGGCCAGTGATCCCTCTGAATCAGTATAATCTTGACGTTCTCATGGTATATAAATATAGCCACTTATAGCCTTAATGTTTGCTGAGGGTATTAGTGTAACATGTAAGTCATTCATATCGTACTATTCATGCTGTTGTTTTGGCTTCAACAAAATTTTACACTTCAGTAAGTATTGTGAGAGTACAGACATGAAAGTTTGTTTTGCTCCTTTCTTACCGTCTTACTTATCAATGCTACAAACACCACCACATTGGTAAGATGTTTTCCTCTAAAAATATTGGGGGTAGCGAGTCTAATACTATGTACCAAATTTTCCTCCCATTCCATTTAAAAAGTAGCAATCGTGCTTAAATTGCTATGAAAACAAAGTTATTGTGGGTTCGGATTTTTATTAAAAAATAATAATATATTATTCTTTTTTAAAATGCAACATCTTTTTAAGGGGAGGGAGAGTAATTAATTTCACTGCATTAAACTTCCAGCTATTTGAGGACTTATAACTGTTGTTTTGTGATAAATAATCATTTTGTGAGAAAGGTATATAACGCTGCGGGAAATCAATTTCGAGATTCGAGTGTTTTGGGGATTCCCTAAAACCAAAAAAAGTTTTTCTTTTTAAAAACATCTTTCTCTCTGTGAAAAACACTAGTGCTTACACTATTCTTAAATTTTTTTCCAAAGTAAATATTCCCTCGTTGAACTGGCTCAACCCAAAGCTCTGATTTTGAAAAATAGTCTCTCTTGATAATCTTCTTGTTCAGTTTTTGTTTCTATTCTCTTCTATTTAGTATATTGTAATTTTATATTTCTTTCTCATGTGCATTGTTGTTTTATTATAAATATTTATCAGGTTAGTCCTGCCTGACATGTATTTAATTAATAAATAAAGAAATACATTCTTTCAATTTTGGGGGTACTTCACTTGAAATCCTTGGAACATTTGGCGCCATTTTGTGTGGTTCTATTTTAATTATTGTATATATAATAGTTCCTTAGTGTGGTTGTGCAAATCGATAATGCTTTTTTTAGGCTCGGGAGTATGAGGATCCACCGGGATTGTTGGAAAAGACGGAATATTTGCTGCGAGATTGGGTGAGCATTTATCACACTTCTACTACAAGTCGTGATCCAACAAGAGCATTTAGCCTATTTGTTCAACAAGTAAGTATATCATTGTATTTTGTGAAGAGAGATGTTTTATTAATATAGCTTCATATATTTTAAATTTTTATAAAAACTTACTCTAATTTTTTCCTTCAGATGAATGGCCATGGTATATTGAAGACTGATGATCTGATTACAAGATTCTTTAGATTGAGCACACAATTATGTGTTGATCTTTGTTATCGAGCACTAGCTGAACAGACAACTTCTCCTACATTAGTTCGAGCCAAATGTTTTCACACCTTGGATGCATTTGTGCGTCTGATTGCATTGTTGGTGAAGCACTCCGGAGATGCTGCAAATACTACAACAAAAATCAATCTACTTAACAAGGTAGATGATAAGGTCCTGAACGTTTGAAACATTTTCGATACATATACCATATATATCTGAATCCAAGATGACCCCTCATTTTTAAAAATGGATAACAGAAAATTCTAATATAGCATGCGCTGAGTATATTTTCTAAATTTAATTCGTATCTCCCTTGTTCAAGTACAGATCATGCATACTTCACCCTGTGATGGTTCACAGAATTGAGATGGAGCTGAGTCATTATCATTGTCATTGTGATCTTGCTCTTCTGACAGTAGACCTTTTCTCCCATTCAATGCTTCAGTGACGCAGCACTTTTTTAAGTCATTTACAATCAATGCAGTGAATATGCATGTCCAAGCAGACTGGATCCATTCTGCAATTAGATATTTTAATTTTCTAGAAAGGGTCAAGGCATGTCCACCTTGACCCTTGCAATTTCTCAGTAATGTCTCATCTAACCCTTGCATTTCAAAGTAATTTCTCATGAAATGCTGACAAGATCTGTATTTAATTTCCTTCCTTTACTGGTGGGTGTGAGACAGTCCTGGAAACCATCAAGGACTGACATGCCACATTTGTTTATAAGAACTTCCATCTTCCTACTCCAGTCATCCACCCTGTTGTGTTGCAAAGAAATAAGACACCATAATCTTATTGCAGGTAATAGTGTTCCTTTCCCTTATAATGTGTCTCTGATAATTGGCCAAATTTTGATGCCGGAAGTGAAAGTTGTTGAGATCACAGCAGTAATCCATTTTGTTTCATCATCTGTGTGCAGCATTCAGAGCTGGCTTTAAATTTTACTCCATGCTCATATGTCACATCATGTACTATAATTTGTATGACATTGTGGGACACAATCATTTCTTCTTTACCTTTCTCAGGCACATATGCAACTATTTCCATTTCAATGTTTTAAACACTTCTGCTTTGGATGTGTGTGCGATTTTTGTTG